GTCGTACAAAGTATTTTGTGAAAGTTCCATACAAGTGGCTTAAACATGACACAAAGACTGACTGGATGATGAAGTAATCCTACATAACATTTTTATAATAAGTGACTACTTAGAATCAACATTAAAATATGATTCTATGGTCACTGCAAAATAAGTGAGACTTGGGTGCTTCCCAGGTGGGTGAAGTGGTCAATGATGTTTTTGTTTTTTCATCGGAATGTACACATTGAACATGATGCACGCAGCCATGCTGTTACCAGTACAACAATGTACAATGGGTGTTTACTTTGATTTTAACTGTTTACAACAGCAGTTAGCATGAAGAGGTTTATACCTTTACATCTGGGAAACCTTCATTAAGCACATGCTGACAAACTTTTCATAAGACCCAATTAAGACAATTTCTGTCATAATGAGCTTATCCATAAACTTACTCTAGATGTAGACTACCTATAAGTGCTGTTAATGGTAAATGCTTTAATCTTTTAGTACCCCAATATGAAGGCCAATTAGGAATTAGAATTACATGACTCAATAATGGCTGTGTTGCTCTGTATTTTGGGACATCCTTGGTACAAATTGAACAATGAGACACTTAGTTAACATCCCTATATTTATTTTCAAATATACATTACATAAATTTCATATCTTTTTTTGTGCTTCGAAGATACAGTAAGCCAAAATCTTGGCAAATATTGACTGAGCAAAAATAATTAACATGGGATTAACCCTTATCATAATACATTCATACATTTTAGTCTCTACTGTGTACAGTGACTTTGTAATGTAATATAACTGCTGACTTGAGGGATTCGACCCACTGAAATGTATCATGAGGAAGTGAAAACACTTCACACTTCATAGAGAAGGTATCAGTGCATAGCAGCAATAAGTGGTACACATTAACATGACATGTGCCCTGGGTTTTGAGAATCACACTTATCTGAGTTTCAAGTCACTGAAAAATAAGGCCATAAAAACATGCCTGGTACTGTATCAAACCTCAACCTACTTATAGATTTACAAAAGCTCTATTTAATATGGCGCCATGCATCATTTTGTAGCATAACTGTTCACTCAGCTTGGATGGAAGGCTTGTCATGTTACATTTTCAGAAAGGTACTCTTATCAACTAACTGTCACCTTGAAGCAGAAGACTTATTCATAAGACTTTCTGTCAGATCATTCCAGTAAATTTACCATTAAGTCAGACATGCTACATTAACCATAGCTCATACATGCAGAGATACTTAACTGTAATATGTAGCCTATTTTCAGAAGCATAATGGTCTCATTCAGTTTGTGCATGAATTTCCATGCAGGTGATAACGGATATTGCAAGCTATTCCCATTTGAAGTTTACTTTGCCTGAAGCCAAGTTTTATAGTGATAAGAAGCAAATGGTGCCCAGAGGAACATTAGTGCTCACTTCTCTTCAGCTACACAGCAATGAAGTAGTGGCTGCTTAATACATTGTGCTATCAAATTGGCAAAGCCATATCATCTTTCCTTCCAAATAAATGGGAAAATTAGAATACGCTTATGACTACCAAGGTTGCACCCAACTAAAACAGGGATAGACATACACAACTCTGACCTGGTCTGAAATGAAAGAAAAAAGCCTTTGTTCTGAGTCATTCATTCATGTGAGTCATTTACAGCTTAGAGAAAGAGCAGAAAATACAGTGTAAAAGCTGCCTACAGTGGTTTGTAGTCTAATTCATCAAATTGAGAACACATAACATATAATAAAAAAAAATAAGCTTCTCTTTTTCCTCATTTCTTTTTTTAGAGTATGACCGACCGCCATTTAATTAGCATAAATTTGAATTCATTGGCAGCGATTAATAGATTCAGACAGAGTCCAAGAGATACTAGTATATGAAAACACATGTAATACTTAATATATATAATTGAAGTCCTATGCCCTTTTCTTTTGTAACAATATAACTTAACACAAGAAAACATCAAGTACATTACCATTGTCTTATCATCTTTCACATCATAATTACTGTTATCTGGCAATTAAGGGATCCCTGAAATGTATCATCACTCAACTGAATTTTATTCTATAGCATTGCAAAAACTGCCTAAGTGTGATAGGATTATGTCTTCTATATGTATGAAGACCAGTTGTTTCCATTACTCTGAATTGACTATTGATTAAAGAGACAAACTAAATGCAGACATCAGCACACATTTATACCCTTTGAAAATACATGACGCTGCAAATAGCTGTAGAGTACCTCACATTTGTGAGATAAATGTGTCCATTTGTGGAATAGAAATGACAGTCTTGGCACGGTAATACCATTTCCCACCCACATTGCACATTGCCACACCTATCTATAATGATTGAGTACATGTAGATGTATCAAGCAGAAAAGTATATACTTGCACAAGGAGAAGGTTCAGCACAAAAAGAGTTCGGAGAATCAGATTGTATGACCTGGACTTCAAAAGTCAATGACCTAACTTATGCTTGATTTTGATCTTTCAAGTGGTAATGAATATACCTGAGACTTGTACATTAACTTCCAATCAGCTGTCTGCCACTGCCTTCAAAGGCTAACATGATAGCAATCTGAGATGCCCATATAGATATCAATATGCAATTTGAAGTCATTACTTCAGTTCCTTGGCTGCAGCTGACAGACCTTAGCCATCTCCTGGGGATGATAATCATGACATGATGGGGCAGTGCCTTCCTATAAAAGGTTGGAAAGTTGTGAACTTTGCTGCCCCAGACTTGAGCATTAGACAGTCTGCATTAACGGACTTCAGATACTGAAATTTGATTCTGTACTTTACAAAGTTGACCTTTGCTGCCTCGCCCAACTCCAGGGTTTACTGGCAAATAATCAAATCCAATAAGTTGAATTACTGCCAGAGTTAGCTGTGGAAATTGGGCCATCTGAGCTGGAACGTGATAGGGCAGGGGGCTTAGACACATTTGGGTGAAGATAAAAATATATGGGATACATCATTAACCTGCCAATAAAAGTTATCTAAAAGCCGTGATAGACAAGATTTAGGGCAACAGGCCCCTTGGTACAAGAAGATATTCACAACAAACATTCCACAGAGGGTTCAGTTTGTTGAAAGGAAGCATCATACATAAAACTGGATATCTAAATGGAAATTTTCTGAAACCTGACACCAGCATGTCTATCTCACTATGTCTTGACTTACATCTCTTAATTACCACTTAAGCTTATAGTGCTTCAATGCTTTTATCTACTAGGGTTACTAAGAAAGGAAAGGAAATTCCTGCAAGTCACCTTCAGCTAGACAGATGATGGCTGTAAGTGTAATTGTTTTCAGTTGTTGGGAGTGCTTGGACAGGATACATTTATTTAATGACTTGCATTTCCATATATGAATATATTTTCATAGATGAATAAGTAAATTAAATAAAAAATGGAATACAAGCTGTCAACAAGCTTTACAGCAGTCTTACATGTAGCTTATATACTTATGAACAAACAAACCTACTTATAATAATGTCATCTGTTTTATTGCACTGATACATGTATACTGCCATGTGCCTGCGAAGCTGGTGTGTTACGCCGAAAGGCAGTTAACTTATACCGGCTATACAGATACAGATACCTTTTTGCTGTTGAGTTTGTTTTGTATGTTCAGGTCAGACTCTCTTTCTAGCCAACAGCTTAGGCACATACAATTGGATGAATGATACCCATTGCATGCATGACTAAATAGTAACAGCACTGGTTATTGTGACAAACAAGCTTTCACCTTGACTTACAGCTTTT